GAGGCCGTTGCCAATTGGCCCACTCCCCAAACCAAGACACAAGTCATGGCTTTCTTGGGCACAGCCGGCTATTACAGACGCTTTGTACCCGACTATAGCGCCCTAGCCAAACCCCTGACCGACCTGACCAAAAAGAAGTTACCCCGACAAGTCCTGTGGTCCCCGGAATGCGAGGTGGCTTTCCAAGCACTAAAGAATGCTCTTGTTAATGCTCCAGTGTTGGTTACCCCAGATCCTAACAAAAGGTTTATTGTCCACACAGACGCTTCAATGTTTGGACTGGGGGCAGTACTAAGCCAGATCGGAGAGGATGGGGGAGAGCACCCGGTGGCATACCTGAGTCGGAAGTTGTTGCCAAGGGAGGTCAGTTATGCCACCATTGAGAAGGAGTGTTTGGCCTTGGTATGGGCACTCAAAAAGCTCACACCCTATCTCTGTGGCCGGGCCTACACCCTCATTACGGATCACAATCCCCTAGTTTGGCTCAACCGGGTCTCAGGGGATAACGCCCGTTTGCTGCGCTGGAGCCTGGCGTTACAGCCCTATGACTTTACTATTCATTATCGCCCAGGCAAGCAAAACGAGAATGCTGATGGACTGTCGCGCCAAACGGACTTGGCCTCAGATTAAAAACTTTGGAAAGTCCCATCAACCCTATTGGACCAGGAAAGGTCCAACCGAGTTGCCGGAGCAGGGAGAAAAAGGGGGGCCATTGTGAAGGATTTTTCATGTATTTGCCTGTGGGCCCTGAGTTAAACCTTCTCCCTGCTGTTTAAATGCCTGTATCCGTTCGGTTCAATATGTATGTACCACTTTAAGAACCAAGGGTATGTTTGTGTAATGCATTGCAGAACATTTTTAAAAAGTTGACAGTTGGCAGTTAATTCCTGGAGCCGTGAATAAAGTTCAGTTGACTCCCTGAACGGTGTTTCGTCTGGTTACTGGGGGATTTGGGATATTACCGTCTATACCAGCGGAGATCTGGGGACTTAATATTGCAGTCCCGTTACATATATATATACAATATATATAGTTATTATATATATTATATATATACGTGTGTAATTTAATTATAAGTGTATTTTTATATTAATATAAGTACATATTAATATAAAAATACACTTAGTATGGCATTATATATATGATATATAGACATATTATATAGATATAATATATGTCTATATGTCATATTTATACATATATATAATTTTTTATTTTTTTATTATTAACACTAACTTTATTTTTATTTTTTTTGATTTTACACTAGCAGGGAGACTGCCTGTCAGCACAGGCAGTCCCCCTGCAGGCAGACACATGGACACCTATTGTGACCATGTGATCGCTGTGTTAAGCGATCACATGGCCACAGGCGTCCTAATTCAGTGTGGGGAGACTGTCTGTCTGGGCTGCAGGCAGTCTCCCCACAACCTGAGCAACGCTGATCGCCGCCGGGGGAACGACGGCGATCAGGTAAGTAACTCAGACCGTTAGGACGGTTCAGGACCGTCATCAGTCCTCAAGGCAAAAATGCCGATGACGGTCCTGAACCGTCCTCGGTCATGAAGGGGTTAATATTAATAAATCAGCAGTAGCCTGTGAATCCAGGCAAATCCGGTTAAAGTCATTTGGCAATAGAGGAAGAAGGCAAAGGAGTCTCGAAGTAAAGGCTCTACCTTGCAGAATGATTCGTATTGCAAAATTTTGTGAGCCCAACAAAGATTGCAATTCCTTTCGATTGCATGTCCCATTATGCAGAAAGTCATTTATAGTTTGCAGGATACTGTCAAATTTGCCTAAGGGAAGGCTAGCTTCCATGCTCACTGAATCGAGGAGGATACCCAAGAAATTAACCAACGTGTCAGGGCCTTCTGTTTTCTTGGGAGAAACTGGCACCCCCAAGGAATGCAAAAACAAGATGGCCTTGAATAGATCACTGGGAGGGGGGGAATTATTCTCCACGAACAGAAAGTCATCTAAATAATGTATCACCGTATGGCATCTGCAATTGTTCAACAGGAGCCAACATAAGGTCTCGGCAAATGTATTGAAAATTTTTGGGCTGCTTTTCGACCCAAAGGTGAGCCTTGTAAAAAAATAATATAAACCTTTCCGTTTCAGACCATGCAGATGCCATAGAGACGTGCTTTGGGCAGTAATTTAAATGCATTGATGATGTCTGTCTTACTCAGCCAAGCCCCTACACCAGCTGTAATAATGGTGTGTATAGCGTTGTCTATGGTGGCGTACTGAAGAGAAAATTACTCGGATGGAATTAGTGAGTTAAGGCTAGGTATGGCCAAGGAGTGAGGTGCAGACAGATCTAAAATGAGTCTGTGTTTCCCTGAGGATTTCCCTGTGATTAATCCTATAGGGTTGGTTCTTCAATTGGAAAATGGGGGCGCCTGAAAAGGTCCCAACAAAAACCCATCTTCCAATTCTCTTTGTAAAAGAGCATCAACCGTTTCCACGTCAGCAAACGCTGATTGCAAATTGTTGCATTCGTAAATGCCAGCAGGGATATGTACCAGACCTGTATGAAATCTCCGTAAAACCATCAATGAAAAAATCCACTAGATGTTTGGATGGGTAAGAAGCTAAGGCGTGAGCCAAAGAACCAATGTTTACAGATGTCAGATACGGTTTGGCATGCCTTTTATTAGGACACATGGACTTGGCATGAGCCCTAAAACAATGTGAACACACATGCAACAATCTGCAGGCACTATATCCGCATGTACCTACATTAAAGTTGTTGCACATCTGCGACTTCCCAAGGTAGACAATAGGACGACCGAGTTTGTCATTGCCAGATCTGTCTGTACTTGTATGTGCCTCCGGGAAAGCCATAGGTGTGGACTCGGGTAAGATGGGACAATAGTCCGAGGCATGTGAGATGGATGCACAAATTGCACGAGCCGTTTTTTTCAGACCAGCAAAGTGTCTGCAAAATAGCTCAGTATCCATATGGCTCCAGTCAGTTTGAAAGTTATACTGAGCCAAAATTGCAGACGCCCTTGCCAAAAAGTACCGGTGGTAATCATAAAAGGATGACCCACCATATTTAGTTAAGTCCACCAGCTTGTACAAATAGAGGTCGAGTTCCTCTCATCTATGCGGGTATACCGAACAAATTACATCCCGATATATACCAATTACAATGACAAAATCGGGTATAGACAGTTTCTTATTAAGTCTAGGGTCCCTGGCCTTTAACACCACCGAAATATCACCATAAGCACGGTTCTCAATAACATTGTGTGAAGCACATCCTTCCCCTCCAAGATGTCTTTCTTAATGTTTGCTGTAACCATATGCAGTGTAATAGTGGAGCATTGGGGAGTACAGTAGCTGAGGGCATAGATAACATAACAGGAAGGCTCCTAGCCTTGATCCTATCAAGTCTATCGTTAACCTTGCCCATGGATGCTACTAGTGAGGCGATTATGGCATGAAGGTCTGAGTTGCCTGGACCACTTGTCCCCTCTCCCGCCCCTGAGTTATCGGTGTTAGTCCGCATTAGCTTGAACAGTTCAGCTTTCCTGGCTGTAGCAGGAGAAGGGATACTACCTCTACGAAGCTCCGCAGTAATACGAGGGATGTACCATGATCTTATAGAAGTTGGACTACCGATGTCGCCTTTTCGTGAAGGTGACAAGGACCCGACCGGGGAACTGGGAAGAGACAAATTGTGTGAGGAACTGACTCTGCTGGGTTTCGAACCCTGGTTTACATGGTGCTAAACCTTTTCATTACCAGTACACCAGCCTGCCTTTTGCAAATTTACCTGAGATCTGATACCACTGCTTGTAGAGTCAAGGTTATCAGTGACAACTCACTTCAGCTGTGTCTAGTCAGGTGTCTGGTTCTTGGCCTATAAAAGCCACTTCCTGTCTCTTTACCTTTGCCAGATTATTGTGGTTCCTGTACTCTCTAATCCAGCGTGTTCCTGTTTCTCCTTCCTGTTGCTGAATTTGGACTGTTTTGACTTTGCTGCTTCTCCTTCCCACTGACCTCGGCTTGCCTCACTACGATTATCATCTTTCTGTTCCAGTCTCCCATCTCTGCTTAAGACCAGAAGGCCACTCAAGGCTCAGGGCCTCAACCACCTGGGTAACGAGTGGCTACCTCTGGCAGAAAACATTGCTGATCTGGCTACTGGACTCCAAAACTTTGTAACATCAATATCATTACAGAATAATCTGGCCCATTCATGGAGACCGTTGGATCAGATTCTGCATTGGCCCAGCAGGTTGCTTTTAATGCAAGAACTATGCAGACCCAGGCACAGACCATTCAAGTGTTGCAGGATCAGGTAGCTGAACTGCAAAATGAAGTTCGATCAATGCATAGTGAGCTTACCAGCTACAGGGCACATGATGTTGCGGCTGCTGCTACTACTACTGTTACACCTGCACAAGATGCCCGCTTGCCTCTACCAGAAAAATTTGGA